TCAGATGCTTCCAGAAGATGTCTCTATTTTTAAACGCAGCAGACTTGAATGCCTTGTAAAAATCCGTTTCGGTTTACTCCGCATGTTTCAGTGCCTGAATCTACACCACCTTCATTAGATTAACATTCTGTGACGTTAGCAGGGTGATGTAACAAATAAATAATATTCTTAGCTTGAATTTGACAAAACAATGCAAACAGTGGTAAAATTACCATTACAAAGAAAAAAATATGTAGTTTTAGCTTCCTTAAATTTATCTCTGCAATATTTATCAATAATAGTTTTTCAAGTTTTTCATCGCAGAGACTTTGAATGTAAACAAACATGGCAAGAATGGACCACGGAAATACACAAACGAAATATATAATTGGACCGCGTTATGCATCACTTGACTAAGCTACAAATGAACAATGTTGAGAAAAACGGGATTTTCGTTTTATCTCTCTGAAAATATAAGACTTCTCAGATTAGACAGGCTCAAACTATTGAAAATTGTTTGGTGTCTGTCCATTTTTATCACAGAACACTGACTATTACAAGCACAGAAGCCGCTTGGTCACTCGTTACGTTTTACCATTACTAAAACTAGAGAAAAAACGATGACAATTTGTGTAAAAATTTTTGAAGAAAATAATCTAGAGTTTGATTTTGTATAACTTAGAAGGAATAACGGTCGTTACTGTTAGGAACTAAAGTAAGTAGTCTCGGGAATACACGACCAAACGACAAAGGTTAGATAATTGAAAGGCTTCCTTTTATCTCTACCAAGGTTTCGAAAATTTTATTTTTCCTTCCTCAGGGTAACTACAAGTTTGAACAACAACAATGTTGTTTTTATTTTACATTGGTTTTTATTTTAGTTAGAATTTAAGTCTAACCAGTTTCGACCCTTGGCTAGCTCTGTAGAGTCTCTCTACAAATAGATTAACATCTCTCATCTTATCCATTTTACAAACAAGTTTCTTAATATTTCTTTTTGTTTTGTTAAAAAAGTTCACATATCAAAGTCGAAATCAGTTTATTAGTTACTAATTTACAAAATTAAAGTTTAAAAAGTTGCAAAATGAAATTAAGGACGAAATGTTATAAGTTTACAGGTTAAAATTTAATTTAATTTTTTAACAAATGAAATATTAAGAAACTTGGGAAAAATTCAAGAATTATCATGTGGCTTAAAAATCGACGATTTTTTTTAATAAATGTGATATGACTCAAAAAACACGTTAAAAATAGATTTAACTTCAGTTATAAAACTTCTATTATATGATAACTAACTTCAGGTTTAAAATGTCAACCTCAATTTTGACATTTTTGTAATCTTCATTAAAAATCCTTTAAAATGAGTACAAACACGACATATTTATCTTCAATATTAATTAATGGTCAACTTCCGGTTAAGAATGTCAACGTCAATTTTTACACATTTGTAATCGTCGTGAAAAATCCTTTAAAATAAGTCCAAACATGATATGTTTAATTCCAATATTACTCGAGATATAAGCAACTTCCGGTTTGAAATGTCAATGTCATTTTGACATATTCTTAATTTTTATAAAATGTCTTAATATTAGTCACAAAAATAAAAATATAATAAAAAAAAAAATAAAAAATTAAGGTTGGTATTAATATTTAAAAATTAAATTGCTAACTTCGGGTTTAATGTTTTTTATTCTAACTTTTTTGTTTTTTGAGATAAGTGTGTCATGTTTGGACTCATTTTAAAGGTTTTTTAATGAAGATGACAAATATGTCAAAATTGACGTTGACGTTTCAAAGTTCGACCTTTTTGGTTTTTTGAGATAAATGCGTCAAGTTTGGGCTCACTTTAAAGGTTATTTTATGAGGATTACGAATATAATAATAAAATTAAAGTTGATATTGACAACTACAAGTTTTCTTCACGACTAAACCCGAATGTTTCTGGTTCTCGTTCTAGTTTTAGTTCAATAAAAATATACAACAAAGTAATATTATGCTGGTAGGTAGTACTGCCACTATAACCTATAACTAACACTAGATCAAGAACTAGAAACATTCGGATTTAGTCCCAGGTCATTAGGTCTTGTGTTAGTTCTAGTGATAGTGCTAGTATAAAACTAGAACTAATACTAGACCTAGAACTAGAAAGTTTATAGTAGTACTTTTTTTCTGTTTGATACTTTCTAGTTCTAGGTCTAGTGTTAAGCTAAGTTTCCACATGCACATATTACTGGCGCCAGTTGGTTGGTGCATGTCGAAATAGCAAAAAACCACTGGCGCCAATAAATTAGTGCCAATAATCATAGCGCCAATAAAGTTGACGCTACTTCTACTTTTTGGCGCTAGTAACAGTATTTATAAAGAAAACGTGCAACTATTAACGTGTTCGTCCAACTAAAATGAACAAATCCGGTAATAAATCGCCCAAAAAATGGACATCAGAACAAACAGTACTATTTCTAGAAACGTATGAACAATATCCTTGATTGTTGAATCAGAAAATTCCATAATATAAGGACCGACTAGCACGAAATGAAGCTGTCAGAAGGATAATAATAATAATAATAACATTATTATTATTATCCTTCTAAAGTTGCTTGCAGTTTTACGTGAGCTGGAAGGGCATCTCTTATATGCAAATGTTGTTTTTGTATTTTAGAGGATACTTGCCTCAACAAAAACATGAAACTCTTTTCAGTCATTCTTAAATGATTAAAAAATGCTTCCTGATCTTGATGGTATATTTCTCTGATTAAAGTACTAGACGCACCTAGGTTGTTTCTATGTGCAATCCACGATCTAACTCTCGCTTTTTCTTTGATAATAACGTATGCAGTTCCAAGGTGCCAAGTGATGTACGTGAAGTACATCACTTGACGCCATTTTTATTACTGTGCCAGTACACAATTATAACATTTATGTGGAAACAACTTCTGGCACCAGCAAATTGGCGCCACTAAACTGGCTTCGTACTGGCGCCAGTTATCCGTGCATGTGAAAACTTAGTTCTAGCTAAAGCTTCTAACTAAAGCTTAGTTCTAGTTTTAGTGCAATAAAAATATGCAACTATATATGCAACCGCTGTCGTTTGTAAAATAGATAATATGAGAGATGTTAATCTATTTATAGAGTCTCTGAAGATGGCCAAGGGCCGAAACTAGTTAGACTTAAATTCTATATAAAATAAAAGACATAAATTTTTAATTTTATACTAACATCTAGAAAACGACACTGGCCCAAAATTTTAGGTTCATCTATTTTTTCTATTGTAGAATTTCTTGGTGTATTTAAATCGGTTCTTAGACTTATGATGCAAATCGGACTTGAAATCGTATAACGTGATTGGCGCGTAGCTTTATCCTTTAAAACAAATGGTATTTTAGGTCTTTCGGTATTCTGCATTTTTTCTAAGGTAAGTTACACCTTTACCTATCAGACAGCATGAAAATCTTTAAAAACCATAAAATGTCGCTTAGTCAACGCGTTCCAATTATTAAATATAATTAATTGCTAAGAAATTTCAAGTGGAAATGCTAAAGCATTAAGATCCATATAAAAGCCTGAAAGGGTGTGGAAAGACCTGTTTTGTTGTTGTTTTGTTTACACAATTCCAGACAGATTGGGAATGGTCGGGTTTGTTTATCAAGGTTAATGACTCCGCAGTCCAGACAGAAATGATGTGTAAGGTTGTGCACATAACACAATCTTAGGTAGATTATGAAAGGTCAGTTTTGTTTTCCACGGTTAATGACCACAGGCAGGAATATTGAGTAAACTTAGTCTTCTTTATCTTAGTTTTAATAAATCCTAGGTATAAATGTTGGGTATGGATATTGTGCAATTCGAGGTAGATTGAAAAAGACTAGTTTTGTTTGTCAAGGTTAATGGCTCCCAGCTAAAAAATGTTTGGGAAGGTTATAAACGTTGCATAATCTCTGGTAGATTGGGAAAAGTAAGTTTTGTTTACCAAGTTTTATGACAACTCATATAGAAATGTTGAGTAAGGTTATGAGGACGGCACAATCTCAGGTAGATTGTGAAAGGTCAGTTTTGTTTATCAAGCTTAATGACCCCCAGGCAAAAAGGTTTAGCAAGATTATTGACATTGCACAATTCCAGGGTTAATATCCCCTGACATAAATGTTGAGTAGGTTAGTTTACCAGGGTTGGGTTGTGTTGGCTTACAGAACTCATTGTGTTATTAATATAGTGTTTCAGAAAACTGGTTGGGATCATTGTATTATCATTGTATCATTGTATATTTAGTATATACGTAAAACTGTCCTGTTGGTACTACAAAGTTATATACCTAGAGCTGCCTAAGCATCTTCAGTTGATTTAGCAAGTTCTATCTGATCCTTTATTTCAAAAAACATTTTAGCCTTAATTTAACCATTTTATTTTCTACATGAACTGAAGATCACCTGCTTTTACCTTAATCTTAAACAAGTCCTCAAGTTTGCATTATTGAGGTTCCTTCCCACGCAGAGCAAGATCATGAGTTCCATAAATATTATTGTTAAAATAACAGCAAGAAGTTTCATTCTATTCTCCTTCATTAATCTCGTAGTGAAAATGTCAATCTGTTTAAAAATGTTTGCCATAATACTCGATTATTTGCAACATGTTCGCTTGGTTTGGTACACAAGTTTTGTAGAAAGAAATTTGCTAACCAACCCAACTTGATTCTTTCCAGCCCTTGTTACAGATTCATCAAACTCAAAACCACATCTGATCAAAAATTTGATGCTGCGACACTTATCAAGCTTTTCTAACTTCTTTAACTTCAGTTTTGTTTACATTAAAGCTCAAATTAAATTTATTATTTATTGTAATTAATTGTGATGGAAAAGTTTAGCATCTCGTATAACACCAGGAAATACAGATCTGCTCTTCCAACCTCTTGAATAGCATTACAAGATTTGAAAATAGACAAAATTCATCATTTTATAAAATTATTAATGAATTGTAAATTTTATTGTTGTAAATCAATTAATTTTATATTTCAGTTTTCTACATACCCTTAAAATTCGAAAAGGACTCTCCGTCATCAAACAAACCCCGGCGCCTCCACCACCAACTTCCCCATCCGGTTTGTTGGCCGGCTGCGATTTTCGCCTCAGACCTTCAGATGGCAGCATATTTTGCAATTCCCACACGTGTCCCGGTAAAGAGGTTAACCTGTTACATATTTTTAGACGCCTTAACGATTTTCGAAGTCTCTCCTAAAAGAAAAAAATTATTAACAAAATCAATAAGTAATTAAATATAGATTAAATTAATTACATTTTAATTTTGCAATATATGAACAATTTTATTATCATTGATCAAAGTAATATTATCGTTATTATTGCGATCTATCAATCGGCTCTTATCTCTTGATGTTTTCTCTAAACCGGTGTTTAACTACGAATAAATTGAGCCCGAACCATATGGTATTATCGAGATAATTTCATGATTCGTGGGCGAGTCTGGATTGTTCCTTGTCCCCGTATTTATTATTTATTTATTTATTTCACAACTTACCAAAGCTGTTGGTCCATTCAAATCATTTTCACTTTGAGGTATATTAATTTTCTCGACGTTATCCAACTTTTTTTCCGGCTCTTCAACATTCGGAATGATGTTAACGATCGGAATTGGAATTTGTGAGTCTCCGTCGACAGCATTCGATCTCCTCAACATTTCAAGATAATGACCAACGATTGACATTACTTTTTATCATCCGCGTGAATTATTTTCATTTTATCCTAAAAAAAAAAGTTACGTTAACACTTGGTAATCTTTTCTTTGAAGAATTAATGTTTAGGGTGTGAATTTGGGGAAAACGCTGAAACTGAAACTGTAATACGATGATGATAATAAACACGAAATGGTCTCCGTCGTAGTAAAGTAATAAATTTAATTGATACCATCTCCTATAATACGGTTTGGCTAGAAAACAAGGGTTTGTCAACTGGGTTATTATTCGCACATTTCAGTATTATCGCAATGTCTACGGGGACTAAACACGTATTAAAGCACTCAATTTAATTGGAATTATTAAACAACGCATCTTTTTAATACAGTTTTTAAAGTGAGAATATCCTTTATTAAAGCAATTTGAGGCTAAATAAAATTGCATTGATGTAAAGATAGTCTCTGATTAATATTCCTAGTTTATGTGGTTAGGAATTATTACATTTGCTTATATTCTTTTCTTTATTTTCCTAATTAAATAAATAAGTGACGATCTTATCTTCATTTTGAATATTTTCGTATTTTTTTCTTTAATCATTTTCAAATTAGCCAATCACTTTGCAAAATGTAACCTTATCTTGACATGAATTATTCTAGAAAGAACGATTCATTTGATTCAACCAAAAAATTCGCGTTATATTAAATTAAAACATTATTTTGATATTCTCCTTCAACCTCATATCAAACTGGTTCATTCCAAATGGTAAAAATAGAACCTCATCGTCAACCAAAAAATGTAGTCACTCATGCAGATTCTCATTTTAATTAGTCATGTTTTAACACGATCTGAATGTTTTGCATAATGTAATCTTATTTAGGGTTCAATCAATCCAAATGGAAAGAACATCAGCTTCCTTATTTAACGATATCATGAGTACTTTTGATTCATTTATTGACAGATCAATATCTGCCTATATCTGGTCAGCCTAAGCAAAGCACATGGTGGATATGGTTTCATAAAGAGCAAATTCAAAGAAAGATACGCCAAGCAGACCTTCTTATGCCGTGGTTACATTGCATCAAAAACTGCCAATTCAAATACTAGTTGTATTTGTAAAACACTGAAACTTGATGAATTTACTTGGAGCAGGTTGTATTCAATAAGAGATCGTAGAGAGTATACAGTCCAGTATTTTCAGTCGATTTAATTCTTGTTATATTTTTTGTCAGCAGTATTTTCTTTTCACCGCATTGATATCTTCAATATAGATAAAGCAAAGATGTTCATCTATTTGTGGTATACTCTTGTCGTTGAATGTATTCCTTATCTTTGTGCGATGCAGGTACATCTTAAAGAATCCTGCCACCTCATCGCTTCTTGTAACAATTCTAGCAATAAAATTTTATATCATGTTTTCCACGTAGTAAACAAGAAGCTAGAGTATGCCAATATTTCGATGGATTCTTTAGCTTCCAGTTGAGAATAACAATTCTTCAAACAGTTGACTCTTATAAAATCTTGGAATGTTGCTTTACAAGAAATGCAACCTTGTTTCGGTTATTGTATTTCTTCTATTAACCCAAGAAAACTATTATTTACCCCAGATTAGGTTAGAGTTGCTCTATATTCCGAGTTTATATTCTAACCTCTATGTTATATAAGGTATACCATCTGCATCTTCTACATCTTTAAAATATTTTTCATTTCACATTATGATTTTTACACCCATGATTTTTGGAATTCTCCTTGTTTAAATCTATAGCAATCAAATATGTAAAGTTGGTTTAATAAGATCATAAGAACGATGTTAATGAAAAATAAGAAAGTATTTATGGCACGTCATATCTCCATTAAATTTGCTGTAAAATGTTCGTTGTTTCATGATTATATCTCGATTCGTTCTTGAGATACAGTGTTTTAAAATTCTATTGTTCAAATTTGAAGCACTGAAATGTGCAGACGGGATTAAAAATTCACAACATCCATGTTTATGGAAAATAAGAAATTATTTGTGCGATGTTAAATATCCATTAAATTTGCTTTAAACTGTTTTTTATTTCAACATTATATCTCAATTCGTTGTTGAGATATGATTTTTTAAATTTTCGTTTAAACCTGTAATAATCAAATGTGTAGAGTTGTTTTAAAAAAACCACAACATCGATGTTTACGGAAAGTAAGATATTATTTATGGCACCTTAAATCTCCATTAAATTTGCTTTAAAATGTTAGTTATTTCATCATCATATCTCAATTCGTTCTTGAGATACGATTTCTTCTTTTGTGGAATTTGCAGCAATGAAATGTGCAGAGTTGCGTTAAAAAAATCATAGCAACGATTTCTATGGAAAATAAGAAATTATTTATGGCACCCTAAATCTCCATTAAATTTACTTTAAAATGTTCGTTATTTCATCATTATATCTCAATTCGTTCTTGAGATACGGTTTCTTATAATTCTTTTTGGGGAATCTGCAGCAATAAAATGTGCAGAGTTGCGTTAAAAAAATCGTAGCAACGATTTCTATGGAAAATAAGAAATTATTTATGGCACCTTAAATCTCCATTAAATTTGCTTTAAAATGTTCGTTATTTCATCATCATATCTCAGTTCGTTCTTGAGATACGATTTCTTAAAATTCTTGTTGTGGAATTTGTAGCAATGAAATGTGCAGAGTTGCGTTAAAAAAATCATAGCAACGATTTCTATGGAAAATAAGAAATTATTTATGGCACCTTAAATCTCCATTAAATTTGCTTTAAAATGTTCCTTATTTCATTATTATATCTCAATTGGTTCTTAAGATACAATGTTTTTAAATCCCGTTGTTCAAAGTTTGACAATCAAATGTGGATGGTTGGGTTGAAAAGATCATAACAACGAAGATTATGGAAAATAAGTAATTATTTATGGCACCTTAAATCTCCATTAAATTTGCTTTAAAATGTTCGATACGTCATCATTATATCTTTATTCGTTCTTGAGATACGATTTTTTAAAATTCTGTTAATGTAATTTGTAGCACTGAAATGTGCAGAATTTGGTTTAAGATGATGTCTTCAGCTTCTGATCAGCGATATTTATGGAAAATAAGAAATTATTTATGGTACTTTAAATCTCCATTAAATTGGCTTTAAAATGTTCGTTATTTCATCATTATATCTCAATTCGTTCTTGAGATATGCTTTTTTAATTCTCGATTAAATTTGTAGTACTTAATTAAATGTGTAGAGTTGTGTTAAAAAACCACAACATCGATGTTTATCGATAATAACAAATTATTTATGGCACGTTAGATATCGATTAAATTTGCTTTAAAATGCTTGCTCTTTCATCATTATATCTTAATTTGTTCTTGAGATATGTTTCGTTTAAAACCTTCTTGTTCAAATTTGTAGCAATATGTAGAATTGGGATAAAAAATCACAACATCGATCTTTATGGAAAATAAGAATTATTTATGGCACATAATATCCATTAAATTTGCTGTAAAATGTTCATTATATCTTTATTCGTTCTTGAGATACGATTTTTTTAAATTTTGTTTTTGTAATTTGTAGCACTGAAGTGTACAGAATTTGGTTTAAGACATCATATCAGCGATATTTATGGAAAATAAGAAATTATTTATGGTACATTAAATCTCCATTAAATTTGATTTAAAATGTTCGTTATTTCATTATTAGATCTCAATTCGTTCTTGAGATATGTTTTTTTTTTAATTCTTGATTAAATTTGTAGTAATTAAATGTGTAGAGTTGTGTTAAAAAAACCACCACATCGAGGTTTATGGAAAATAAGAAATTATTTGTGGCACATTAAATTATCCTTATTTCATCATTGTAACTAAATTCGTTCTTGGGATCTGATTGTTTTGACTTTTCGTTGTTTAAATCTGTAGCAATTAAATGTAATAACAAAGATTAGTTCTACATTTTAATCCTAAGGTTAAAACTAATCATATGTTAAGACTATGTTGTTTCTTATTATTTTTTTGTTAACTTTTGTTACCACATATTGTGCAACGAAATAATCCAATCTGGGGGTTAATGCGAATTATCCCTAATTTTATTTAGTCTTTAATTTAATTAAACTTCAATCTTCCACCTTGTAGATCTAAGACCTCAAATTATTAATTAATATTCTAAAACTTTTTATATATATAACGCTTAGTTAAATTTAATTAAAAAGTCAATCTTGTAAATACAGTCATAATAACTTTCTCTTCTTCTTCTCGAAGTTAAGTTAAAATTAGATTGTTTGCGAGAACAATAAATTGTAAGAAGGTCGTAAAATAACTTCCTTTGGTGCATTCTTTCGTTCTTTGTTGTCACGATATCGTTTGAAGATTTTTGGAAAACATTTTTGTTTTTTCAGAACCTTTAAGTGACGTCGTGATAAATATTGAGATCATATCAAAGTGTATTTTTAAATTAAAAATTCGAAAATATTTTTAGTTATTTAAAAAAAAACTTACCTTTAAATAATTTTTTATCCTTTAAAAAACTTTTTGGCTCACAAAGTAATAACTTTTTTACAAATTCTGTTTCAAAAGCTCACTTTGTGCACCGATTCCGAAAGCTTTAGGTGTGCAACTGGCTCGGAAACTCGTGTGCGAATGACAGAACATCTCGCATAACACGAAGACAACCCTCCCCATTTACATAAATAAGTATAACTCGTTGACCATTACCTCTTTATCGATATATTGAAACGTTGACAAAAATGTATGTGTTTTAATGGTCAATTTCGAAAATTACAAAAATTAATTTCTTTAAGTATCTACTATGATGATTAATTACTAGATTTAAATTGTATTTATGTAAACATTTTTTATTCGATAAATCGTAAAATATTAGTAATATAAATAAAAAAAAATATTTTAAATAAAAGATAATTAAGCTCCTAAAAGTCTCTTCACTGAATATTGAGGGAAATTCCAGAAAAATAGTACGACCATAAAGGCGAGGATAGCGAATATCATTAATTTGATTAATCTCCACTTATAATGTTTGCAAATAAGGAATTTCAACAGTTTAAATGGATTTTTAAACCACGAGAACGAAGTA